GAACAAAAGTGGCCCTAAAAGTGAACCCTGTGGAACTCCACTACTAACTCTTCTCCATTGAGACACTGAGTGTCTTACTCTAACCCTCTGTTCCCTTCCTTCTAAGTAAGTTTTTATCCATTCCAAAACATTTCCACCTATTCTAGCCATTGATTGCAGCTTCCTAATAAATCTCCAATGTGGAACAGTGTCAAACGCTTTCTGGAAGTCTAGGAATATGCAATCTGCCCAGCCCTCTCTTTCCTGTAAGATTTGGCTTACCTCATCATAAAATTCTAATAAGTTTGTTACTGTTGATCTGCCTTCTCTGAAGCCATGTTGCCTCACTGACAAAAAGTTGAAGGATTCCAAGTGAAGAGAGATATGTTTCCTTAGTAGTTTCTCCATAACTTTGCAAACTATGCTGGTCAAGGAAACAGGTCTATAGTTCAGAGCCGTATCCCTCCTTCCCTTTTTGAAGATAGGTATCACATTTGCTTGTTTCCAGCATCTTGGAATCTCCCCCGACTCCAGTGACTCCTTAAATATGATACTTAGTGCCACTGATATTGTGTTTGCGCATTTTTTAAGCACATGAGGGGATATGTCATCGGGACCTGTAGCTTTATGAACATCTAAATCCATCAGCGCTTTGCATACCTCTGTGGCTGTAAGGTTGATGTTCTCTAATACCGGCCCTTGAGCTTCTATCACTGCAATCTGAGGGGGTGGGGTATTTTCTACTGTAAATACTGACTGAAACTCCTTGTTCAATTATTTGCAGATCTCTTCATCCGTCTCAGTGATGCTTCCATCCGCTCTCATTAGCCTTAAAACCTGTTCTTTTACCTTCAGTTTTCCTCTGATAAAGCTGTGGAAAAGCTTGGGATTTTCCTTAGCCTTCCTGGTAATGTCCCTCTCATAATCTCTCTCTGCCTCTCTCCTTTTACTTAGGTAGTCATTTCTTGCTCTTTTGTAGGTTTGCCAGGCATTTATGTTTTTTCTCCTCCTATACCTTTTCCAGCATTTGTCTCTCCACTCCTTAGCTCTTTTATACCCACTATCGAACCATTTCTCTCTTGCATGAATTACACCTACTTTGGTGACAGGTATGCAGCAATCTACTATCTTCCCATATTTCTCACAAAAGATGTCATACATTTCTTGTACAGATTTGTTGTAAAATAAGGTTCTCCAGTCAATAACTGCAAAAAGCTCATTCATTTTGATGTAATCTCCTTTCGGATAGTTCCTCCTCATGTCCTCAGTGCCTCTACTCTCAGGAAGAATATCTTCAATGATATACTCCATCAACAACACACAGTGGTCACTCTTTCCAATTGGTGGTTCATACTCAAATTTTTCAATATCCAACACATTATCTGTGAACACTAGATCAAGTAGTGATGGCTCATCCCCACCCCTGGCCCTTGTTGGTTCCATTACATGTTGGTGTAGGAAATTCCCTTGTACGCAATCTAGGAATCTTGCCCCGAATGAGTCCTCACCACTGTGTGGGTCAAGATTTATCCAATCTATCTCTTTATGATTAAAGTCTCCCATAATCAAAATCCTACATTTTTTCTCCCGTGCCATGTTAACAACTGAGTTTATGACTTCAATAGTACCTATATGACTTTCCTCATAAACTTCAAGCCTATTTTGGTTCCTTGGTGGGTTTTATTCAACAGTTATTATAATGCTCTCTGACCCAGTATTTATGCGAGCAACAAGAAATTCCTTGAACTCACTTTCTATAGCCAAGTTTATTTCTTCGACTTGAATCCTTTCACTTATGAGCAGTGCTATCCCTCCACCAGTCCTCTCAGATCTTTCAACCCTTAGTATTCTGAAACCCTTAGGAAAAACTGTGACACTGTTTATGTCCTCACTCAACTTAGTCTCTGTAATTGCTACTATATCTGCCTTACTGTTGTGAATCCTATCTTTTAATTCTACTGCCTTACCAGCTAATCCATCAGCATTTGTGTATAACAATCTTAATGAGGCCCCATCCCCTGATCTTCTGTCATTATCTTCTTTATCTCCCCTTTGTCTGGAAGAACTCTGTAATGAAAATTTTTCTTCTCTTCTTCATTTCTTTCATCATTTAACCTTCTTGCCTCTTGCAACAAGTTTTTGATCTTTCCCATCTCTTCCTGTGTTCTGTATTGTCTAATGAACACTTCTTTGAATTCTTGAAGGTCTTTTAGACTTTTTTTTCTCAACAATATTTCCCTACATGTTTCCCCTCTCTCAAAGGTTACTTTTGTTGGTCTCGGCTTTCCTTCCCTCGAATATTTACCTAGTTGGTGTATGTTTACAATATCCTCGGGACCACATACTACTCCAAGCTTTCTTATCAGGTCTACAACCCTAGCTTTATTTTCTTCAAGTCTCCCCTGCCATGTTGGTTCCTGGGACTCGCTTATGCCTGAGATTACCACTGTCTTCTCCTTATCAAGTGCCTGTCTGATGAGTGGGTTTGCCCTTTCCATCACAACGTCTTTCAATTTTTCGATTACTGTCTCTTTATAGTCAACTGTTTGTATGTTTTCCAGTGCCACCACCTTTACAGCCTCTTTTACTGCCACATTCCCCTTTAGTGCATCAGCAAAATAACAATCTTAATGATGCCCCATCCCCTAATCTTCTGTCATTATCTTCTTTATCTCCCTTTTGTCTGGAAGAACTCTGAAATGAAAATTTTTCTTCTCTTCTTCATTTCTTTCATCATTTAACCTTCTTGCCTCTTGCAACAAGTTTTTAATCTTTCCCATCTCTTCCTGTGTTCTGTATCGTCTAATGAACACTTCTTTGAATTCTTGAAGGTCTTTTAGACTTTTTTTTCTCAACAATATTTCCCTACATGTTTCCCCTCTCTCAAAGGTTACTTTTGTTGGTCTCGGCTTTCCTTCCCTCGAATATTTACCTAGTTGGTGTATGTTTACAATATCCTCAGGACCACACTCTACTCCAAGCTTTCTTATCAGGTCTACAACCCTAGCTTTATTTTCTTCAAGTCTCCCCTGCCATGTTGGCTCCTGAGATTCGCTTATGCCTGAGATTACCACTGTCGTCTCTTTCTGCTGGCTAGTACAGTGGTAACGCGCTGGCTTCGCATTCACGAGGTCGAAAGATCGGTTCCCGTCCAAGACCGAGAGTTTAAGTTGTTTACTGGCAGGAACTGCTGTGGTTGGACACCACAGTGGGGGGTTGGGGCTTGCCCTGGCTGACGAATACCCATTGTATTGAAATGGAAATAAAGTTTGTTTGTTTGTTTGTTTGTTTATCAAGTGCCTGTTTGATGAGTGGGTTTGCCCTTTCCATCACAACGTCTTTAATTTTTTCGATTATTTTCTCTTCATAGTCAACTGTTTGTATGTTTTCCAGTGCCACCACCTTTACAGCCTATTTTGCTGCCACATTCCCCTTTAGTGCATCAGCAAAGGAAGTTTTCATGGCATCATTTTCCATATTCAGCTCTTGGAACTCTTTTCTGAACTGTTCAATGTTTTCCTTAATCTGGACATTCCAAGCAGCAATCTCGTCTCTCTCAAAAGAGAGCAGTGAACTAACATCTAATTCCTTTAGGTTGTCATTCAGCTGTTTGTTTTTATCTTCTTGTTTAGAAATTCTAGTTTCTAGTTCACTCTTTTCCCCTTCCAACTTCTGTATGTATGTTTGTGTATGTGAGATTACCAAATTGTGCTTACGGAAAATGCCCTATACACCTAATTCTCCGTCTCCTTGTCGGTTTCATTTCTATGCTTAATAAAAATCAAATGGATATACAGGGTAGGAGAAGGAGAGGGAGACCAAAGCGTAGGTGGATGGATTGCATCAATGACGACATGAGGTCTATAGGTTTGTTGGGTGATGAGGTATGGGACAGAAACAAATGGAGAAAACTGGCCAGAAACATCGACCCCACATAAAAGTGGGAAAGGATGTATACGAAGAAGAAGAAGATATATGTCCTTAAAACTATGAGTTCGATTAGCATTAACCACTTCCTCGCAAAGCGAATTCCAATCATCACCTATTCTTAAAAAAAAAAAAAAGTACTTCCATACATCATGAAAAAAAAAAGTTTTTAGGAAACTTCAAACTATAACCTCTGTCATATATTATGCAGGTACTTAAAAAGCGTCACCATATCCTCCTCTTCGCTTCCCGAGTCACGCACTCTACCACTGAATTAAAATGAGTTTAGAATAGAACTTTTGCAGGGAGAGAACGATTTCATTACGTTTGTGATGGTATTGCTCATGGAATCATTACTGTAGTCTGTTGCATATTAGGTCCTCAGTTTTGCCAACATATTTTAATACTTTTGCGTCATGACCATATTGACTTCTACGGCTTCAAAGGTGTGACGATTTGTATGTTGGCCATGGGAATGTTGGAGAATGGAGTGAGATTTTGATGTCTGGTCACTCTCATGTTGAATTATGTTTTGAAATATTAAAACAATCTCCTATTTCAATTATTCACTCTTTTATGGAGAATAGTTTTCAATAATTTCTCTCTCTCTCTCTCTCTCTCTCTCTCTCTCTCTCTCTCTCTCTCTCTCTCTCTCTCTCCTCTCTCTCTCTCTCTCTCTCTCTCTCTCTCTCTCTCTCTCTCTCTCTCTCTCTCTCTCTCTCTCTCTCTCTCTCTCTCTCTCTCTCTCTCTCTCTCTCTCTCTCTCTCTCTCTCTCTCTCTCTCTCTCTCTCTCTCTCTCATTTCCTTTAATTTCATCTCTGCTCTATGCTATTGTTCATAGGATTGGTTCAATTTGTATTTTGAATAAAATATGTTTTGTTTAGTTTATTTTTATTATTTGTATATTTCTTTGTTTATTTACTTGATTTTATTAATTTTCTTATATGGTAATATATATGCCAAATTTTCCTTATAACTATTGTTATATTTTTACACCAATTGTGATAGCTTTTAATAATGGAAAATCACTGCTTATATTATAATTACTTTCGTTATTGCTAATTTTTTTTTTATTAATTTCATTTGTTATGTATCCTATCGTGTGGTTTAGTGGCTAGTATGCGCGGCTCTCACCCACGAGGCCCTAATTCGATTCCCGGCACGGGAAACTAATTTTCCTAACCCAGTCTTAGTATTATGTAATTTAAGTATATTAGCCATGATCAGTAAAGCTTATATTGTAGAACATAGTTTTATCTTATTACTGTGTCGCTGAAAACCCCATGACTAGTATGAGAATAGAAAGACATTTTTGACTGTGTCAAAGGTTGAGAATGTGAGGATGCTGTTCAACTATTGACCCCACTTAACTAGCGGTTCACTCGTGCCAGGGCAACTATCACGCGAAGGACACCACCACCCTCACGTTCTCTTCCCAAAGTTATAGCATTGCAAAGTACTTCTAGGATTTGAGTTTTGGGCCTTTGAGTAAATTTCTAATGCTATAGCTACTGAAGTATTGAATTACAGTTAAATAGAGAAACATCCTCTTCTTGTAGTTAGTCATACGTTATTTATACTGAGGAATTTATGCATACGGCACTGGGTCAAGTTATTTTTGCTGTAATTAACATTAGTTCCATCGTACAAGTATATTCTGAATAAATTGTGTTTAGTTTACATCAGTTGCAATACATATTCCCCACGAATGTTGTATAGAATTTATATATTCTACAATCCATATATCTTACGAGTATTATATAGACTTTACATTAATGCTAATGCATATATTGTATGAATATTGCATAGCTAACATCAATACCAAAATATATTTCCCATGAATGTTATATAGAGGTTTCATCAGTGAAAAACGTAATTTTCCCCAAATAGCTTTAAAGACTTGACATGAGTGCCAACGTGTATTCCCCACGGATTTCATATATCTGATGAATGTCATATAGAGTTTACATTAGTGCCAACATATGCTTCCTACAAATGTTTTAAAGAGTTTATATCAGTGCCAACATATTCTACAAGTATTGTATAGAGTTTATATTACAGGCAAATATTATATATGACCTTTTGTACAGATTTTCTATTAGTGCAAACATATGCTTTCCTCGCATGCTGTATACAGTCTTTGTCAACCTATTTTCCCTTGAATATTGTGTGGAGTTGGCATCAGTACCAGGATATATTTCTTTTTAATGTAGTATAGAGTTTAAGCGAGTGCTAACATATAGTTCTCATGAATGTTGTATAAAACTTATATTAAAATCAACATTCTCTCCATGAAATTTATATATAATATATATCAGTACCAACGTATTTTCCCTTAAACACAATATAAAGTTTACATCTTTGCCAACATATATCTCACAAATGCTGTATAGAGTTTACATCAGTCTAGCATATAAATCCTTAGATATATTGTAGAGAGTTGATATCAATACAGTGTTCCCTCGCTATATCGCGGTTTACCTATCGCGAATTCTGTGTATCGCGGTTTTGTTTTACTGGGTATAAGCTAGAATATTAAAATATAAAAAAATTATGATTTTCAGTATTTTCATTAATTTATTGAATTTTTTTTTCATTATTTTATTGATAAAAAATGTATTTCCCAGCCTAAGAATAATAAAATAGTAAGAAACAGTAAAAAACAAATTTAAAATGTAGCTTTGCAACATAGAAAGTACGATACCGGTATCGGCGTTTCGGAAAAAGCAAAGGGTCACACCTACTTGAGCTAGCACATATTAAAATTTCCAGTATTTTGATTATTTTATTGATAAAGAAAATGTATTTCCTAGCCTAGGAATAATAATCAGTAAAAAATAGTAAAAAACGTAAATTTAAACATGTGACACAATATTGCACCATGTAAAATACGATACCAGTATCGGCGTTTCAAAAAACAAAATGGGTCGCTCCTACATGAGCTAGTACATATTAAAACTTCCAGTATTTTTATTATTTTATTGATAAAAAAAGTATTTCCTCCCCTAAGAATAATAAAACAGTAAAAAATAGTAAAAAACATAAATTTAAACATATAACTCACATTACTGCACAATGTAAAATACTGTACGATAGCGTACACTGTATTGACATCTTGAAAAACGCAAAGGCTTGCACGTACATGAGATGTTTCATGGGTAGCTATTGGCTGAAAGGGTGGGAGACAACGAATCACAGAATTGTTTTTCTGTATGTTCCTTGATCATGGGGTCTGATTGGCTTTCGGATTGAAGCTTCATTCTCCCAGCGTCTTCCATTGTCTCGCACCCGTTCAGTCTAACTCACGTTTGCGCTGTTCGCATTGTGCGTCTTAATACGTTATGCTTGTGATTTTTTTTACTCTCGTTTTTCAACCTCTGCAATGTCTCCCAAGCGTCCTTCATCATCTAATCCTTCTGGAAGTAAGCCTTAGCGGCAAAGGAAGATGTTGACCATAGCAGATAAGGTATAACTGTTAGATATGCTGAAGGAAGGATGAAGGTTTGCGGATGTCGGCCGCCATTTTGGCTGCAACGAATCTACTGTTCGATACATCAAAAAGGACGAGGCAAATATCAGGAAAACAGTGACTATTTCATATAGTAAAACAGCGAAGAGGGTCGTAGCACCCCTTAATAAGGTAGTAGAGTAGATGGAATCTGCTTTGGCCCTATGGATTGCTGATTGCAGAAAGAAGAACATCAGCTTAGACACCAATATTATACAAACAAAGGCGAAGAAGCTGTATGAGACATTCGCTGCAAACGAACCCAACGACGACAGTAGTGACCTTGAGGAAGAGGAGAGTGAAGAAGATATCGACGGCCCACAACCAGGACCCTCCAGCAATTCTCCACCAAGGAAACAATCATTCGTGGGAAGCAAGGGATGGTTTTTTTTTTTTTTTTTTTTTAAGAGTGTGACACCGGGATAGGCAGAAACTGCCCTCATCAACAAAGGCCCGGGCACGAGAAAATACCAAGACGAAGGAAAAGAATAAGTTAAGGGCAAGGCAGAGATGAGGTAATGTCACACAAAGGAAAACGACAGACAGAAAAAACAGTCAAAGTAAAGACGCTATGGTCTAAAGAGCATTTTGGTTCAAGGAGAAGCTGCCTCTGCAGATACAGCTGCAGCTGAAGATGACATAAAAACGACTTCAAGAAAATTATGGAGGAAGGCGAATATGCTCCTGAGCAAGTGTTTAACATGGATGAGACTGGGTTATTTTGGAAGAGAATGCCGTCTCGCACTTTTCCCTTCAAGGAAGAAGCTAAAGCCCGAGGAATTTAAAGCGCACAAAGACCGCGTTACCCTCATTTGCGGGAATGCTGCAGGCTTCATGTTAAAGCCCGGGCTTATCTACAAGTCTAAGAACCCTAGGGCTTTGAAGAATAAGAATAAGAATCTGCTGCCAGTGTATTGGATGCATAACCCAAAGGCCTGGATTACGAAAAGCTCACATTGGACTGGTTTCACCATTGCTTTATCCCTCAGGTCACATTTATCTTGCGGAAAAGGGCCTTGAATTTAAAGTCCTTCTTTTGATGGATAATGCTGGTGGCCACGCAACTGATCTCCAATATGACGGTGTACAAGTAGAGTTCCTGCCACCGAATACGACATCACTGCTTCAGCCTATGGATCGAGGCATTATTCGTGCGTTCAAGGCCTTCTACACACGAAATGCCGTGGCGAACCTGGGTAAATCCATGGATGCGGACAAAGAATTTTCTTTAAAGACTTACTGGCATAACTACTTGTTTGCTACATGGCTTCAAAATATTCAGAATGCAATCAAAGAGATGAAGCTGGCCACAATCAATGCCAGCTGGAAGAAATTGTGGCCTGAAGTCATCAATGACTACAAGGGACTTGCTCCTGACGAAGTCCATAACTCGGCAGTTGTAAAAGCTGTGAAGTTGGCTGCATTTCTAGGAGGAGAGGGCTTTGAAGATATGACTCACGAAGATGTGAATGAACTGATCGACTGCCACTTGCAGCCTTTGACCGATGAAACTTGGAGGAAATGACAAAATCAGCGAGCAAAGAAGAGTAAGAAGAACACCAGAGGAGATGCACGAAGAAATCAAATAACCTGGCCTTACACTCGAACGTCTGGCAGCCATGTATGAGCATGTTAAAGCAGTCCAACAACTCTCGCAAGAATATGATGATAATATACTTCGTTTGGTGACCTTCTGCAATCTTCTCAACGATGCTATGATTCCTTACAAGACCATCTTCCAACAAAAGAAGAAACAGCGACAGCAACTCCACATTACCATGTTCTTCTCTCGCAAAAAGCAATTGTAAAGCTGTCGTTGGCTGCGGAATAATTTCCTCTGGAGTCTATTCACGTCATCATGACCTCATTTGCGGTAAGTTTACCTATCACGTTCATATAAAGTTACGCTTGCATGCTGTTATTAATAAAGTAAAGGGTGGTTTTTTAACAGCGCAAGGAGGGTTTATTCAGTAAAGGTAAAAATAAATGTAAAATACCTATGTATATGAGTATGTACACGTCATAATCACCTCATTCACGGTAAGTTTACCTATCACTTTCCTATAAATTTACACTTGCACGCTGTTATTAATGAAGTAAAGGGTGGTTTTTTAACAGTGCAGGGAGGTTTCGTACTGTAAAGGTAAATATAAATGCAAAATACCTATGTATATATTGTGATCCTACTTCGCGGATTTTCACCTATCGTGGCCGGTCCCAGAACCGAACCCCCGCGATAAACGAGGGAGCACTGTGCCAACATATATTTCTCAAGAATATGGTTTAGAGCATACATCTGTGACAACTTATATTCTGGCATCTGGTCCCTATGGTATTTCTGCAAGGTTCCTTAAGGAGTTTGCAGATGAACTGGCTACTGTGCTTTGTCGTCTTTTTCTCCCCATTCTCTCAGCCAGTAGCTATCATTCATCTTGGAAGCATGCTTTAGTGCCACCTGTTCCTAAGAAGGGTGACCACTCTATTCCTTTAAACTAGTGACCTATTGCCCTAACCTCTTCCGTCACTTAAGTTTTTGAAACTGCTCAAATCTCACTTCTTGAAACGTCTTGAATCTAAGTCGTTTATCTCCGATCACCAGTACGGCTTCCACAAGACAAGATCCACTGGTGACCTCCTGGCCTATCTTACTCATGTATGTC